ACTTTTGGAAGCAACTGTATATTATATTTTTGCTGAATTGTTTATTTTTTACTAAATGTTATACAAGTAATAATATGTTAAATAATTTTTTTAACTAATAAAAAGATGGTTAAAGAAAAAAAGCTGGTTTTTTTTTAATACAAATAACTGAATTAATTTTAAAAAAAAAGCATATATCTAAAGCTTACTGAAGTTAAAGTATATATCAATAATTCTTATAATAAATAAGCAGATATCCTAATCAAAAAACCCTAAAACTTCCATTAATTAAATGAAAAAATTATATCTTACATATAATTTTTATAGAAAAAAAATAGTAAGATATAACAGTAAATAATAGTTTATTAAGAATATTAAAAACAATCATTTATTATTAAACACAATAAAACAAAATAATATTATCAAATTTTAAATCAATAAGTTTATATATAAGATCTAATGTAAAAGAAAATAAAATATATATATATATAGGACATATTTTTTAAATAATTATAATAGAAAAGCTTCTCATTAAATTAATCAATAATAAATTATAAATCTTAAGTAAATTAATTACTAGAAGAACTAATTTATATAAGTAAGTAAAATATATTACATATAAATATTAAGAGGAAATAATTGAATACTTGTTAGAATATCTAGTCTACAAGAGTCAAGCCTAAGAAACATGAAAAAAAAAGAACAAATGAAATTCTTAGAGATTTTAAAAGAAAATTGAAGAGAAAAATATTAGGCTAATTAAAATAATTATAAAAAATTGAAATATCTAGATAAATGAATCTTTAAATTAATAGAACAAACTTTAAAAATTAGTTAAGACACTTTAAACTTTTATACTGGTCTTATAAAAGTAATCTTATTTAAAAAATAATAAATCTAAATGTCATGAAAAATGGATAAAAAAAGAAACAAGAAGATAAATACTAAAAAAATAGAAAAGAGTTTGCAATCAAGTTCAAAAAAGAATCTAAAATATAAGATATAAAAAAATAATCAAATAAAAACAAATACAGAGATCTGTAAAAAAAAACCAAAATTAAGAAATCTTAGTATTTTTCAAATTTGAAAATCATATTTTTAGTAAAAAGAAATTATTAATAAAGAATAATACTTAAAAAATAAAAATCTCAAAAAGATTTTGATAAGAAGAGTGAAATATGAAATGACATGTTTAAGATTTTAAGTCTAGTTAGAATCTTATAGAATATTTTATAGTAGTAATCTATAAGCTATAAAGTTAACAATAGGAAAGACTTTTATTTAAATCAATAATAAAATAATAAATTATTTTTGAAATTATATTTAGAGTTTTAGAAAATCTATAAATTAAAGACAAGTAAGTTAGATAGAAATTTAACTTTAGCAAAATATTTTAAATATAAAGTATATATATTTAACCTGATTAAAGGTTTTGAATTTACCCACTATTAGATTAGTTATATATACTTTATTAAATATAATATAGACTATATTATTTATAATATTATTAAAACTAAAATACCAACTAACTTACTTATCTTAGTTTGTTTTCAAACTTTAAGTACAACTTTGAAAATAATTTGTTATTCCATTTATAGTTTGTGTGAATATCCCTCTATTATAAATATCCTTACCTGCAGTTCATTATTACAGCTGACTAAGGATTTTAAACAAACAAATAAATATTTAATAAAATATATATAATTAATTTGATAAAAAAATATTAAAAAAAATAAAAAAATTTTTTTATATCTTTTAAAAATTTAATTTTTTAAAAATTACTTTTTATAAATTGATATTTTTATTAAAACATTTATTTTTTTTAATTATTTGATAACTTTATTTATTTTTGATTTTGATTTTTTTTTGTTATATAATTAAAAACTTTATTTTTAGTAATATACTTAGTTTTGATTTACTTTAAATAATAATTTTATATTTATATATAATAAATTAATAACTTATAATAGATCTTAAGTTTTTAAATAATTTGGTAAAAATTAAATTATATTATATAAATATATTATATTAATATAATATTTTTTAATAATTATATTTAATTAAAGAAATTTTTTGTAGTAGTGAACTATAAGCAATAATGTTCATAATAAAAGAGTATTCACCGAAACTATAAATGGAGCAATAAATTACTTCTAGCATTTTAGCTTTAGCAACATTATAAATAATATAGTCTACATTATGTTTAAAGCAAACATAACTAATCTGATAGTAGGTTTAAAAAAAATTAATTAAAGAAATTTTACTAATAAATATCTTTTATTATTTAAAAAACTTTATATATTTATATTTTGTAATAATATAAAAACTTTTAACTCAATAGTAATAATAAAATCTTTATTAATTTTAATATCTTTTATTAATTTTTAAGAAGTTTATTTATAATTAAAAAATAATAGTTCTTAATTTTATTAATTAATTAAAATAAAAAAGAAATCCTAGTTTAGATTTTTTTTAATTAAAATAACTTAAATTTAAATAAATTAAAAATTTTTTATTGTTTAGAAAATTATATTATTTTTTTATTGATTTTATAATAATAATATTATCAAAATATATAATATATTATAATTAATGAAGTTTTATTTATATTTTTTTAGAAATATATTTTATATTAATTAATTATTTTTAATAAAATTTATATTATTTTAAAATTTTAAGTCAAATTAAAATAGATAAAATTTTTTAAAAAGTTCAAATGATAAGTTATTATGAAAGGGTAAAAATAATATGTTAGAAGGTTTTTTCAAATTTGAATTTATATTTATATAATTTTTTATCATCAAAAATCTTAATATTGTTTTTTTGCATTAGAAAAAAATTTTTTTTAATATTATACTATTAATTTTATTTATTTTTTAAAGATATTTTTGATTTAAGTAAAAAAGATGTTTTTTAATTTTTTAGGTTATAGAAAATCAAGTTTTTATGTAAGAAAAAAAAAAAAATAAACAAGAAAAAAAATGACTTTTAAAGATATTCTTTAAATTGTTTTAAAGAAAATAACAAAGTTTTATTAATGTAAAAATATACAATTTTCTTTTTTATGGATTGTTAAGAGATTAGTAATAAAAAAAAATATCATTAAATTTTAATTTGACAAAAAGTAAAAAAATACATATACTGGATATATTTAAATTTTCATATAAATGGATTTTGCTTATATTTATATCATGTAAATAAATTTTTAAAAAGATTAATTATATATTATAATTAGATCAATGTGTTTAATTTCTTTGCAAAGTAGAATATCTCTATTTTTATATATAATGCCTATAATAAAAAAATATTATTAAACCATTTATTAAAAAACAAAAAAAAATTATCAAATGGAATAATAAAATTTTAATAAATTTCGCTGTAAATAAATTTATTGCGAAAAACAAGTTTGCTTAATTTACAAAATAAAATTTATTAGGTTTAATACAGTATATACAGTACAATACCAATCTTCATTTATTGAAAGGTACTATATATTTCAAGTTATATTTTATAACAAAAAGAGGTCTAAGCAGATTGGGGGTGAAGATGTGTTGTCGACTTCTCCCTGAAAATAGCGACAATCCAATACGTAGTTGTTTTACAATGCAACAATTAATTAAAAAGCGAATGGCTTTTGTTTTTGTTTAAAATCAAGATAACATACTGTAATATATGAATATTTTTAAAACTAAAAGAAATTTGAAAATATCAGATTAAAACAATCATTTAGAGAACAGATATATTATATTTATAAGGATTTCAAATTTATTGCAAATAACTCTTTCAGATTTGTTGCTATTAAAAACAAAAAAAAAACGAGTATAATGATGCCAACATTATATATATATAAAAAAAATGGTTTAAATAGTTATTGTGTTTTCTTATGCTTCCAATATTGGTTAAATTATATTTTAATTAAATACTTACCAACGAGCGAACGGATATAACGACACTTCATATAGTAAGTAGTTATTCTTAAATTTTTATACATTCCTTTTGTCTCGCCGAAAAGAGAGTTTCGTTTATCACGTTTATCATGTGCGTGGCGTGGCATGCAAACCAAAAATTGGCTCGAATTTTTTTTTTTTTTTTTTTAAAAAAAAAAAATAATAATAATAAATTGAAGGACATGGACAATTCTAATTCCCGTTTCGGTGAAATGATCTTTATTAGGAACGGCCAGAGGGCATGATACCGAGATTTGCCTTCGCTCATAAGGATCATAAGGTGAGGTAATGAAAATCATCTAACCATAAACGGGACGTTCTGATCAGTAATTAATGTGACTTAAATATAGCATAGGAATTCACGGTTAACTTTGATGTGCGTGTTTCAATTTCGAATCACAAGCAGTCGAGCTAATATGAAGGGATTCCTTCTTGAGTATAATGAAGGGAGGGGAAAAGGATAAAGAAAGGAAAATTATAGTATCAAATATAGTAACATCCCTTAATTCAATCATATTAGATCTTCAAACACTATTTCGTATATGCTAGTGTACAAAGGGTATCGGGTATGCGGTGCGTAATCCATTTATAATGAGTCAAAAGTTCGATCTGCCTTGATAATAATTAATTCATATGATAAATTCGAATGTATGAAATGAACTTCAACGCGATCCCCATGGATTCACATCCTATATCAATCTAAATTTTTCATGCAACTCGATTTTTTTTTTTTCTTTTTTTATCCGTTCTTTATCGCATTTAGAGCTCTAGCTCTGTCACGAAAACAGGTTTCTCTTTCACTAAATCTTTTCCTTAGACCCGCCCTTGATAATCCTTTTCCCCAATATCAAGGTGTCGGAGTCTCACCCCTCCCGAATTGAATTCACCTTGCTGCCGTCCCAACACATTACTTAATCCTTTGGTGACTGACTGATTGACTCGAATTCACCACCACATTTAAAAAAAAAAAAAGGAGAGAGAAGGAGAGAAGAGAGGAACAACAATATTATCGTGAATCGCGAATTGTAAAGAGAGAAAAAAAAATTTTTTTTTTCATTTCTCACCACCACCATAATGACTGAAGAACGGTCCGCAATTGAAGATTCTGCGGGTGCAGATTCCACGGTTAGGGATTCCGTCATTACTTACAGCACTGACGTCGTTGGTAGTAGTGTGGAGGAAAGTCAAACGAACGAAACCTATTCGACAAAACCGAAATCAGTTACGAATGATGATTCCCCGCCCTTCTACCGTCGGAGACGTTTTTGGGCTACTTGCGCTGCCTTGAGCGTGGTGATACTTGTCATCTTGATTCCCCTACTCATTCTCGTCATATTTCCCGCGATTGCACAAAAGACCGTGGACAATTCGCACTTAAATCTAAACAGCATTGTCATCTCGAATCCTGGTAATAATTCATTCTTGATGAGTTCCGATGCCAATGTGACGAATGGTGGTTCCTTCAAGTCAACAATTGAATTTCAAACCCCTGTTACGATGTATTGGAATGACATGGAAATTGGCAATGTGGAATTTGATCCAATACATGTTAGCGGTGGGTACGCTTCTGCCAGTGTATCCAACAAGACATTCACCATTACCAATGAAACGGCCATTTCTGATTTCTCGACTGCGTTGTTAAATGAGGATACTTTAAATGTCACTTTCAAGTCAACTATCAGCGTAAAATTTATGGGTATCACGAGAGGTGGTATGTCATTGAACAAGGAAGTCACAATTCAAGGTTGTAATAAATTAGGCACCCCAAAGGTTACATACTTTTCTGTCGATCAACCGGACAACAGTACCCTTCGAATGAATGTCACCGTGTCAATTGAAGATCCGTCATCGGTTTCTATTTCCATGGGCAAAGTTGGCGTCGGTGTTTCGTACAATGGCACATTTATTTCGAACATGACCATAGATGACTTCAACTTAACGCCTGGTAACCTGTCGGTCACCATGTATGGAAATGCATCTGTTCCACAATCGCCCGAAGATCGTGAAAATTTTGGAGTTGTCATGAGCGCTTACCTCACAAACCATCCGGTGATCACAACTTCGACAGGAGAATACGACTATCCGAATCATCATGACCCCGTATCATGGCTCACACCTGCTGTGAAAACATTGAACTTAAATGCATCGATTGGCGATGCACCAAACGGGCCGCCACAGCTTATAACCGGACTTGACTTTGGCCTCCCTTCGTTCAACTTCTCTCTAGCGGGTATCTCGTTTTCTTCACATAATACGGTTGCCTCCTATAAATTACCGTTTGATATTAGAACAAATATTCAACAGATTTCTCAGAATGTTACCATGTACTATGGTGAAACTCCACTTGCGACCTTTGAGACCATTCAGTTTTCCGTACAAGACAATTTACACGGTGCTCTAACCATGAACATCCCACCTACCTTGTTGAATGTGCCCCCGGGCTCAGAAATCGCATTTTCAAGTTTCGTCGCAAAATTGTCGTTGTTATCTCAGGTGGAATTTAACATCACTGGCACTTCCAATGTTTCAGCGGACACTATCATCGGTTTACTTCCAATACCGAACCTTCCATTTACGTTGAATGTAACTTTACCAGGATTCTCGAACTTCAGTGCCACTCCGCCGAAAGTTAATTCCGTGACTGTCGTTGATGGCACAATCTCTGACTTGATAATGCAAATCAATGCGACCCTCTTTAACCCTTCTAATACCTCTATCTCTCTCGGTGAGGCAAGTTTCGAGATTGTTTTTGCCAATTCAACGGTTGGCTATGCAAATTCTTCCATATCTCTTGTTCCCGGAGCAAACGAGTTGACATTCACCGCTACCATGGATCCCGCGCATAATTCCCTTGCTCAACAACTTTTGAATAATTACATGGAAGGGAATACCTCGGATGTAACACTCTCTGGTTACGAGAATTCCACGGATCTGCCGTACATGAGCCTCGCATTATCCCAATTAAAACTAAGCGCTCCTCTCTTACCTCTCCCAGGTAAACTGATAACCAACAGTAAACTGAGGATTCAGGACGTCTCCGATGCCGGTGTAAGTAGTGTAGTCGACGTCACAATGTTCAATCCGTTTGTGGCCACCATGAATGTTCTCACTGTTGGCGCGAATATCACTGTCGATGGGGATTTACTCGCTCAAATGCCGAATGTGGGCCCATTGGCGCTCCCCGGAAACGCATCCACCACACTTCCAGGTCTACCGGTAAACATGAATCTCGACAGAACTGTTCTCTTTGGTCTTTTGCGTAGACAAGCTCAATTGGTTGGTTTGGATACTAGTGTCATTGATGCTCTAATTACCATCGGAAAGATTCCGGTTCCCGGGGTACAGTCAATCACCACCATCGACCCGGATAAGATTAAAAATTTTGATATCGTATCGTACGTGGAAACCGCTCTTGCGACCATTAAAGTTGACATGTCACTCTTTTCAGATGTAAAGATTGGTAAATATGAGATGCCATTTCCTTACGTACAGTTGGACACCCAGAGTCATACCGATTCTTCCATCGTCAAGTTACTCCCACTTCTTTCTAGGCCGATCGCTCAAGCCCTGATTGACGGTTCAACTCTTGTTATTGACAGTCTCTCTCTTCAAGACCTGACCGAGGATTCTTTCGTCACTGTAATTAACGGGGCCATCAAAAACGCCGGTCCGCTGCCTGCCGTTGTCTCTTTCCCGAACGGTGCAGATTTGATATTCAACAATGTTACTCTTGGCACCATTGATCTGCCATCTATCACGATCAATGGGGGTCAGGCTTCGCTGAACAACTTAAAGTCCAATTTCAAGGTCAAGAACAAGGAGGGTTTGGCTGCTTTCGCTGGACAAATCTTGTCGTCTGATTCGGCCACGTGGACCATCAAGGCGGAAAATGCGACCGTGAATGCTTTGAAATTATCGATTGATGGTGTCGGCATGACAAAGGAGGTTTCGTTGAAAGGTGCAGGTGGATTCAAGAATGCTGTCACGATCAGCAGCTATGATTTACCCCGTGATGCTCCTAATGGTGGCATCGTTTCCGTGATTAATGCAACTCTAGTGAATCCCGGCTCCGTTGGTATCTCACTTGAATCCGTCTCGTTTGATATCCTCTCGGGAAGCACAAAGATAGGTGAAGAAACATCTTCCGGATTTACAATGGTTCCCTCGGGCTCTTCTGAAATGAAGTTAGTCGGTCGCCTTATTCCTCAATCCGGCGATGGGGTAAATGTTATCGCCAACATATTCGCCGATGTACTTAACAAAAAGCCTGTTCCGCTTGTAGCAAAGGGAACCGGACTTCAACCCCCAATTAGTTGGCTGATACCGGCGTTCACACAACTGTCGATTGACTCAGTTCTTCCACCAAAAGATCTCGGAAAACTTGTACCTTCTGTCACTATTAATGAAATTTCCATGAAATTTACCCCGGATACGGCCTACGACCCAATTACCTCTTCTAAAAACTTGACAGCACAAATTAATATCCCTTTCGGGTTCACCTTGAGTATTACGGAGATGTCGGAAGAAATCGTTATTGTCAATGGTAATACGAATATGGCGAGACTCTCGATCCCTCAATCTAAGGCGCAGACCATTGGTAGAAATGTTATCACCACGTATTCTGACGTAGACCTAAAAGTGTTCGATGACGCACATAGCTCCTTCGACTCATTTGTCAAAGATCTGACCATTGGAGATTCCAAGAAATTTGGACTCGTCGGATCTTCAAACGTCCTGGCTAAAACACCGGTCGCAACGATCCCACTAAATAACATTTCTATAGATGTGGAAACCAGTTTGGCGGGATTTGAAGGATTGAAAGCCAAGCCGGTCACCATAAATGGGTTGGATGTAACAAGCGGTACTTCGAGTGTTCTCACGGTTCCAATCAATACTTCCCTATTTAATCCAAGCCCAGTTACAATTTCTGCCGGTGACATCACTTTCAACGTCATCTCTGTCGGTCTGAACATGGGAAGCGTGGTCATCAATGATCTGACCATCGTTCCTGGTAACAATAATCTGTCCGCGACAACATTTCTTTCCCCACCATCGCCGGCGATCAGCGGATTATTGCTGTCACAATTCATTGCCAACGTGACTCAACCCCTTAGTATAGTGGGTAGCCAGAATAGCACAAACATCGATAGCTTGAAAGAGGCATTCAGCCAAATTAAAATTGATACCTTTTTGCCACCACTGGGCAGGAGATTATTATTGTCGAGCTTTGTTGCCTTCCAAAATGATACTTTGAAAACAGGAGTTGCATTCGGTGGATTCACTCTCCTGAATCCTTTCAAGGCCGATATTACGATCACCCAAATAAATCAGGTGAATATCACGTTCCACGGTATTCCCGTCGGATCCATCACCGATCTTAAGATACCGGTCACCATCCCAGGCACTACAACCTTCACGTCTCCGCCAATACCGATTAAAGTTAATCTTTTCCCACCTGATCTCGTTAAAATTATCGAGAAGTCAGCGGAAGATAAGAACATAGACATCAAACCCTTGGAACCTCTCCTCAAGTTGATTGGTGGAGGAAAGTCACCTTCACCCTCAAAAAGACAACCCACTTCAGATGCACATGATCGAAGTCCCTTTGACTTGCTTAAGACTATCTTGGCAGAACTGAATGTCGACATTAACATGAATTCTAACGTTTTAGTGGATAAGTTCCCGGCATCACCTTTGACGATTGTGGAAAAAGGAGTTCCGACTACAGTAAACAACTCCGACATTATAATTACCCAAATGGCTGCGCCAATAAGTCAAGGTCTTGTCAATGCAAGTACAATCGTTGTGAATTCGGCGGCCATCTCTGATGAACAAGCAACTAGTTTCAATCTTCACATCGACGGTGATATTAAGGGTATCGGAGACGTCCAAGCTAAAATCACATTCCCAAGTGGCTTGAATGTTTCCTCATTAGGTAAAGATCTTGGCGTCGTCAAATTGCCACCTGTCACATCTGATGGTAGTGGAGCAAGGATCAACAGTTCAGCCCCGTTCCAAATCACCGATGTCAATAACTTTGCTTTTTTTGCGTTGACCTTGTTGGGCGGTCCTTCGGCAAACTGGACCCTTGCTGCAAATGACGTACAAGTCGAGGCATTTGGTATTCCTTTGTCAGGAATCCAAATGAACAAGGATGTTCCTCTTCAAGGTGATTATCACATCATTCACGTTTAACACATCTAATTGATATATACTGTAATGTAATCTATTTTGTATATTTATACGTTCATATGATAATAACGGAAATTTGCATTTGCTCAGGTTTTAACGGCTTACGACAATTGACCATTATCGAATTCGAAATTCCCGGAACGGCACCCGATGGCAACTTTGAACTTGCCGTCAAAGCATCGTTGGTGAATCCTTCGAATGTTGGCATAGCTTTGGGCGCAATCGGTTTTGACTTGTTTACCGAAAACCAATTAATTGGTCCTATTAATGCCACCGATGTCACTCTTGAACCAAAGTCAACCACCGAAATTCCATTCACCGGCGAAATCACGATCAAAGATCCAAAGATATTATCAGAAGTCATTGCGAAATTATTTTCCGGTAAAGGTAATTTAACAGTCAAAGGCGATACGATTCATCCCCCAGGCGCCAAAGGTGACGTGCCGTGGTTATCCACTCCATTCAAGCTGCTTTCACTGGATGTTCCGATTTCTAATGGTAGCGGTCCACCACCTAATCCTGTGAAGAGTGTCACCATCAAAAGTATGAATCTCACATTTACCCAGAGCACGGCCTTCGACCCTGACTCATCATCAGATGGATTGGTGGCCGAAATTCAATTGCCCGTTAAACTACCGACCCCAATCACTAGCGTCTCACAAAATATAACCATCAAAGACGAGAATGGTGCTGAAGTTGCTTCCTTGGAAATACCATCATCGCCTGCTACTCAAAAGGGAAATATTGTGACGACCACCTACCAACATGTTCCTTTGAAAGTTATCGACCAAAAGGCATTTAGTTTGTTCCTTGGCGGATTAATGATTGCTACCGAAAAATCATTTAGTGTTGCGGGTAATGTGACGGCTTCTATGGGAAAAATTGAGCTTCCAACTATTCCATTTGATGTGAAAACGAGCATGAAAGGTAATTTCTAAAACGGCGACCGACCGATCATTAACATCATCCAGTGAACATTTATATTGACACTTGAAATTTATTCATTGTAGGATTGCAAGGACTAAAAAGCAGTCCGGTTACCATCAGTAATCTGTTAGTGACGGGTGGTAGCGAGAAAGGAATAACGTTGGGCATGAAAGTATCACTTACCAATCCCTCGGATGTACAGGTATCTGCTGGTGACTTAACTTTCGACGTACTGTTCGGAAGTCAAAAGGTTGGCACAACCACAATCCCGAACATCGTTCTTGCTCGTGGGAAAAACGATTATCCAGCTACTTTCATATTCTCTCCAATTGGTGACCCGGCAGTTAAAGCCGGTGCCGACCTCATTGGTAATCTGATGACAAACAAACCATCCCCCCTCGTCATCCAAGGGAATGCACAAACCACCAACATTTCGTCCTTGACTCCCATATTTTCTCTGCTCTCTCTGGAAACTACTCTTAATGGTCTTCCCGCTCAAGTCATCGAAAGTATTACTGTTACCGTCGATCCATCGGTGCTCAAGACCAAGCAGGGTTTGGCCAGTTTTGTTGTTGTGAATCCACTTAATGTGCCTTATAGTATCACCGGAATTGTTGCGACGGCATCTTTTGAAGGGCAAAAAATTGGCGAAGTTAATGTACCTAAAGTTCCTCCAACAGAAATTCCCGCCCTTTCCAATAAGAATGTTAGCGGCATTCCATTCACCTTCACCATGAATATGGGAAGTCTTCCGGGACTAATAGGAAAAACCATAAATATTGATATCGATGCTTCGACCTCCGCCGTCGTTGTTGGTTATACTGCCCAAATCCACTTTACAGAGTCTAAAGTTCCGGCTACTATTATAGGGTCAATAGGAACAATCACCACCACAACGTCACCATCATCATCATCACCATCATCAGATAAAACGGCATCATCAGCAATGGCATCATCAGATAAAACGGCATCATCAGCAATTTCATCAACATCAGCCAAGAATCTATCGACATCAACGTCAAAATCGCCTACACCAGCTGAGAATCTATCGACATCAGCATCGCCATCGACCAAAAAATCACTTAAAAGTTCCTTCAAACACTAGATAATGAATTCGTCAAAGATGTTTGGGTGGGATATTAATACCTTGGATGATTGATATTTTCTCTTTTTTTTATTTTTCGATAGGTGTATCATACATAACAGGGCAATTTCTTTTCTTTTTCTTTTTTCTTTAGAATTCACAGCCCACGATTAAGAGGCGATAATTTTTTAGATCTCTCTCTGATAGGGTTATATTGCATAACGTTTTTTGAACGGGTGATCACGTTGGAAACGATTTTTGATGAAATGACTCGAACCCTTTCGTGACAGAGCTCCTATGCATATAATTTTAAAAAAAAAATTTTAATTTTACCGATAATTACCTTCTGTTCGGGTGATTAGACATATTTTTTTTTCTTTTCATTGCTTTTAACGTTCCCAAATATTTGAATAATCTCGATAACTTGATACGAATTCATTTTTGTCCTAATCATTTTCCCTTAAACCATTTAACGATTTTCAACTAATCTAAAAGTACTTGTCTTTTTTTATAATAATTTAATATTAATAAAAAGAGTTTGTAATTTCATTTTGACAGCCTAAGATGTTGTTGACCATTATACGTATTATTATTTATATTTTCATTTGTTAAAGTAAAAAAAAAAAAACCCCCCGGCCAAAGTTCAAAGCTCAAAGATAATACCAGTCTACGCGTGTTCACCCAATAAAGATTACAAAGAGCACGATCAAGTGTTTGTGTGACTCTAGTTGCTTTTGGGAAGGCAGCATCTAGTGACCAAGTTAAATTGTTTAATGGTCCAAAACTCGTAATAATCATGTCGGTTGATCAAAAAAGGTTTTTTATGTATTTATTTTATTTTATTTGTACTTTTATTTTTATTTTTATTTTTATTTCGCGACCAGAGAATAACATGTGCACCGCTTCGCGTTACGCGTTGTAACTCGGTGCGCGATTCGTCAACCATCATCTTTTGAACAAAGGAGCAATTTGTTTCAAATTAGATTCGAGTAATGATGGGTAAATAAATTAAAGGGTTTTTAGGTGTTTCTATTTTGATTGATAGAAATGTAAAGTCTTTTGACAATGAATAAAGAAAAGAAAAAAATTAAAAACTAATTACAGGAATATGCATCGACGATAAAAATTGGTTGGATTAATATACAAGCTATTTTCTTCCAGCTTACCCCGTAAACTTGATAGACCCATTAAAGGTAATCCGGAAGAAAAAGAAAAAAAAAATTTTTTTTTAAGTTCTAATATGTCTATGAATGGGGAGGTTTAAATATACAGTTTTAAAATGATCGGAAGTTTTCTCGTCTTCCTCCTTTATCACTCCTCGTGCTCTTCTTCGGTAGTCTCAGAATTACTGTCCTCTCTTTCGTCCGGGTTAACGGCTCTCAGTCTATTTCTCGTCACGATTATCGAATCACCGCCAACACTGGCTCGTTGTATGTCCAATCCTACACCGATATTTCTGATGTCCACACTATCAAAACTAGACCTAGAATCTGGATTCTCATCCACTGTCAAATGTCTATTACTATCTCTACTCCTACTGCCTCCCTCCTCCGGATTACTTCTCACCGAACCACTTGCACTATTCCTTCTCACAACCTTGCCTTCGCCTTTACCCGAATCACCACTGTTTCTCCTAAATATAAGACTCAAACTGCTCCTCTTCAAACCGGGAAAATTAAGTCTCTTTCCCTCACCATCACTACCCTTGCCACCAAAGTTCATTAGACCGAATTTTCGCGAATTGCTTGGACCACCTCGATCCTCGTCCTCGACAGCAATACTATTATCGTTATCACCGCTGTCAGCAGCAGATATCACCAAACTCTCCACACTGTCGTATTTTATGGGATCGATGGTTATGGGCGTCTCGTTGAATTTCACGCTCCTCCTCCTCACAGTTCCCACACCACTCGCCGGTGTCAAGGTTTCACTGTCGGAACTCGATCGTCTATGCGATGCAATGGGCTTTGTTGTGTTCAGTAGGACATTGTTTGTCAGCAAATTATCATCGCTACTCGTTATCGTTACTAGGTTGTCATTATTATCTGATGGTCGCAGAAATTTCGCAGGAGAGGACGATGAAGGAGAATCGCTGGAGGCGGACGTTATATCTTCCCGATATACAATGTTTATTTCCTCGTCATCATTCTCGTCGCCACCGAGGTGCGACGTTTTATCTCGCCTAACCGACTTGCCCAAAGAATTACCGCGCCTTGCCACCACTCCATCATTTCTACCACGAACACCTCGTCCGTCTTCAATACTTCCATCGTCACTCCCGTTCTCCAGATCGCCATCTCTATTCGGCGATGACTGCGACGGTGGTAAGGAGCCGTTCTTCCGGTAAAACGTACGAAGGAACCCATTAAAAATTTTATACCGCCTACAAAGACAGCAAGCTGATATCATGAGAAGAACTAAAATGAGAATCGAACCACTAACGACGATGCCAATTAATTCCCCACGGGACAATGATCCCGGGGAAACAGTGTGTGGTGGTAATTCTGGATGAGTGTAGTTGACGAGAACGGTTGGAACGTAGGTATCTACCCAAGTCCAATTTATGACGTTGAGGATGTATATGTTATTGTCAGCCGTACTAAAGTCGACATTAGTTTTTCCTGTGTCGAAGGGGTGGGGGAAGGAAAAGATGAATGAGTGCGGTGAATATTTTTCCTAGGTAATACCACCAATGCGAAAACTCACTAAGGAAATTTTCGCAAGAAAAAAAGAACGTATATGTATATAAGTATATTTAAACATTTACCAAACCCAACAATCATGTTCGCTCCTATCAAAGTGGCCGTGTGTTGAAATCTACCGGGCGGCGTATTAATGGTTGGTTGTGCCGACCACTTCCAGGTGGTGGTATCAAGTTCGGCTGCATCATTGTAAATGGTTGTACCGTTAAGATCCGCGCCGCCATAAATTATTATACGCGGTCCCGAGACTGAGGGAAGAAGAAGAGAATTATTAGACGAGATCGTGTTGATCAAACCGATCACGTGTCTAGAAGAACAACTTACCAACAGCAGAATGATCTCGCCTGGGTGCTGGCACTTGACCGGTGACCGTGTAGTTCGACCAGGTCAACTTAACAAAATCATACACATACACAGTGGCCATACTCATCAAACCGTCCTCTCTGACACCACCCAACACCACCATCTTGGTTTTATTGATTACACTGGCAGTATGTTGGCACAAACGTCCGGGAGAACTTTCTAATACCGGATAGCCCACCCAGGTATCCATATTAACACTGTTCATTCCCCAAAAGTCTTCCAATATATTAGCGGTTGGAGATCCTGTGGTGTCGTCCACGTATCCGCCATATATTATCATTTGTCCATTTTCACTATCATCGTCGGTGACGTTGCCTACCACCCACTTGGAATCGGTTTGCACACCCAAGGTGACGGCCGAATGTTGATACCTTCTCGACGGTCCATTAGAAAATATTGATAAATTAGGAACAAGCCAGCTATCATTAGGAGGATCGTAAACATAAAACTTTGGTATGAAATCGATTATGGAGGAAAAATTAAGACCCGGATCAGTCAAGCTTCCACCAAATATAAGAATTTTCGAATTATTCACGTCACCAGGTGTGGCCGTGTGACCGACCAGAAATGGAACTTGGGTGTTATTGAGCGGTATCCATGGAGGGGAGGAAATGGAAAAACTAGTGGATACGCTAAGCGCGAGGAAGTCTGTGACATACAGATCGATGTTCGATTTACCACCGATAAAGTAGATAGTGTTGTTCACCAGTGTGGCGGTGTGTCCCCATCTCGGAGTTACGGAAGTGGATCCTGCTAGAAAGGCGAATGTTAATTGGACTAACAGGAGTAGAAGAAAGTGATTGAAATGACGATTAGAGTTAAAGATACGAGAATGATGGTGGGTATGAAAGGTGTTGTGAAAAGGTTGATGATGATGTAGTTTTATGAAATTCAAAACCTTTCTTGGAGATAATAAATTTTTCATAGATTATTATTATAGTTCTCATATACGATAATCTAAAATGGATAAATTAAAGTCTGAAATTTGGATAAAGCGAAAAGATCGAGTTTTTGAAATCGTTTGCATGAAAATGATCTTTGAGGAGGGCAAGGCCGCATAGAAATGGGAAAGATTTTACTAATTGTGACGGCGACAATAAACGAAGAGCGTGAGGGACGAAGATAGGGTGGAGAATGGGGAAGCATGCAATTTCGCAGAAACCATGAGCTTTAAAAAATTAAATTTATATAATTTTGAATAATGAAAATAATTGAATGCTTGTGAAATTTTTTATGCATCCGGGATTCCCAAATAGATAAAATTTTTATTCCCGGTCTCGTGTGCGGATTGAGGTCGAGGAGTTATGGATCAAGTGTGCGCATACAACAACGAAGCGTGCTTCAAAGGCTGGAATGTGATCTCATTGGTATAGGGGTGTCGTTCCCATGCTACTTTTACACTACGTTACTTCTGAAAGGTCCAAACAAGCTCTTTTATAAATAACAAAAGGAATTATCCTAAGGGAAGGTGCACTTCCTAATTTAGAAATTAAGACAAATGAAAATATATTTTGTGTAATGGACAATAATAACAATGATGTTGTGTGCATGCACATCCGAGTATAATTTCCACACACTTGTCAAATAATGATTATTAGACAATATCCTCTTGTATACGTTCCTTCGACAAACACACTGCATACAGCAAAAATAACAAATAAAACGTACGAAAAAAGCTATCATCATCCGTTCCCTAGGTTTCATGGGCTGACGCTTGGGGTAATGCGTATCTTGATGCGCACATGTCATCTTAAAACCAATGCTCTATTCCATATGTGTGCGTACTAAATATTTTGGATAGCTATTTTTATACAGTAGTTTTTGAATTCTACAAATTCAACAGAATAATAAGAGTAGCCGCCAATGATCATGATTGTTATTTTTATTTTTATTCCCTCCCAATCCGGTTAGTGAAAGTGGGTATTTTTTTTTGCATACAGTACGTCACGATTTTGTCCTCTCGTTATGAAATCCACCTGCCATCCAAGCATATACAGTACATAGACAAGAAATAATAATAATTGTTTGATCTTCTGTGTGATGTATGGAATGAAGGAGTTTCAGAAAAATTCTCGGGTTCGTGCATTCGGGAAGAGAAACCGCTTTGGTAACTGCCACTATTCATCGTATCATGACTTTTATTAGAGCTCGACGGATCGATAAACCGAATGTTACCTTTCATCGGGCTTGACCAAATTTGTCGATCTGCTGTAGTTGTGTAAGATACACTCGGGTAATTATTTCCAAGAATGACGAAATTAGAGCATGTCTTCAAGGACCCCAAATGTCAAAGACCTGATAAATTTCGAGATGCACCATTATTAAGCTTATGTGTACCGTGCTTACGAAATTGTGCTCTACCACACGACCGGACATTTCGAAGAAAATTTTTTGTCATCAATTATATGATATGGATATGGATAAACGGCACAGTAGTGATATCAATAAAAATAAAAATATTTAAATGCTAGTCCAATAAGTAAGTAGCTCGGGTCAAAAGAAAATTCTTTTTGTCAAATGTTAAACGAAGCACTCGCTTCTCGCCTGTTAGAATTCTCATCTCTTACAATATCAAGTGTTATTTTCTACTTAAAATATACAGCATGTATTCATGCTCTATTTGAACTACAAGGGCCGATGGCGGCACAGGAGAACGCACCAATGATATTTCGGTCAAGCTTTTGTAGCAAATCACGGCTGGCCGTTCGGAATTAATGTGCGTACGTAGCATAATAAAATGTTTGCTGACCTTGCATATGACAAGGAAATTCGGTCGTTTAGTATACTTACGACACATCGAAGTGTCGACAGAAGGATCTTGATTGTCTTCTTAGTGATAATACCATGGTTTTCCTTTAATTGGAATAACTGTTTCGTATTGTATATTTATAGACAAAATGTTGTCTCACACAGCCCATTAAAACACTGTTACATCCTTAATTTCGATCTTCTATTCTTTCTAAATCGAAAAAAAAAATTCCTTTTCGACGATCAAGTAAATACAAGGATACAAAGAAATATTGTTGATCAAAAAAATTTTTTTTTTTTTTTTTTGAAACAAGCAGGCTATGACATATACTTGTCAATTAATATTTGTGTAAACAAAATATAAAAACGACCAAAAAGAGAAAAATCATTTATAACCTTTAGAAAAAAAAAAAAAAATTTTTTTTCATGTAAAACTATATTTTACAAAAGATTGTAAATACCACATGCTGCTCGAATGAATATGTAAAATATGCACTTGTGTATTCAATTGACTAATAAACTACCCAATCTAGCCTGGCTGCGGGTGACATGATGTACAGTAGGCCAAAAAATATTCGTGATTTGCAAGTTTTATCACTCTATTTTATAAAACATCTAAAAAACGTACTGTATACTGTATATACTGTATCTATTTATTTAATAAGTTGTTTGCTTTTTAACCTATTTGGCATACTTTCAACTAAATTAAACATAATATCTATTGTAATTTTACTTTTCTTGTAATACTATCTTAAGTTGTAATATATTGTTGTCAAAAATAATTTGTATTATCGAATTTCTACCTTTATGAATTTTTCAAGGGTTTTCTAAGGAATTAAGGTCCGGTGACTAAGCCATGTCGTGATAAGAATTTAGTGTTATTTTTTTTTTTTCATCATAAGCTTATGTAAAATTTTTTTTTTTTAAAAACCGTGACTGGTATTAGATGCGGGACTTTTTATTAACATATAGTTATTGTCATCTACATCAATCATCTCGTACATCCTATATATTTTTATATATATGCAGATTTGATAACCTATTGCAACTTACCTAGCTAAATCAGCTTACACTCAAAAAGTGGGTAGATTCAGCTAGGGGTCGAATGGTTAACACAAGTCATGAACAGCGGGTTTCAATTAATTAGTATTGAGCTTCAAATTAATTTCTTAAATTTACTAGACTAATCTGATTATATATATGTATCCAATAGATTTTATGATCTCTCCAATACACTCAGATTATATTATTTGCTCAAACCTCAAAAGGGGGCACATTACCATCTTTCTCATCACCTGTGACATTGGATCAATCTTGATTAACTGATTTTCAATTAAGCATAGCATCAGATTGGAATATCTTGAGCCAGAAGAGTCAGGTTCTAGAGTTTGCTAAAACAATTGGGATTAAATTTGTTTAAATAATTGTTGCAGTCCTAAAAGCAGGGTCCTGGGATTTATTTCCTATCTGGTTTAGAGGAGGTTAGATTTTTATTATATTAATTTATATTAAGAACTATAATCCATTTCTATATTAAATTTATTTAAATTCTATAAAATTATTTAATTTGAATATTATTTTTTTACAAATATGTTTTTTATAACAACTTATTATTTTCTATAATATTTTTAAAATATATAATATCATCAAGTCACAAAATTTTTTCTATTAATCCTTTGATTACACATCAAAAAGATATTCACAAAAAGTTTTTATACTTTTTGATTAATAAAGTCTTAATAATACTTTCATTTTATTTATTTAAAGAAAATTTCAAAAGTTATATTACTTTTCTTTTTTTATATTAACATTCCTCTTTAGACAAAAACTTGATTTCAGTAATTTAAAAATCATAAAATATTTTTCTTATTAATGGCAAAAAAGTTTCAAAAGAAAGAAAAATCAATATTTTACTATTTTCTATATATAAAAAAATATTACAAAGTTTTTATTATAATAAAAAAACTATTATAAATACATTATATCCAATTTCTTGTTACTTGTTGAGCTTTAATAATACTTTTTTATAGTTTTTTTAAAGAATTTTACCTATTTCAGTTTAATCCTGAATTTTGAGTAATATAAAAATTTTTATATAATAATTAATTAATAGATATATATCAGTAAAAAAATATATAAATAAACTTCTATTGATCACTTTATATATCTGAATATATTTCTTTAGTTCTATAAGAATTTGAGACTTTAACATAAGTCATTAAAATCATATGAATAAATATAAACCATTATCTTTTATATTATTAGATAAAGAAAAAATTCTATCCAATTATAATAAAGGTCACAAGATACTTCAATCATTTTTAATATTAAAGTCATTTATTTTTAAAAATCAAATAGATTTTATTCACTTTTACAAATAAATAAAAATCCATTAGACTTTTATAAAAATAAACAAAGTAAATAGTAAATTTTTTCTATTGGTGAATTTTTTATTACTTATTTAAAATTTATGAAAAAAATATAAATTGAAAATTTTTATTAAAACTTTTAATACATTACTCTTTAAGAATAATTATTATTAAATATCAATAATATCTATTATTTTTATTTATAATAAGAGTACCTATTAAAAACAAATTTTAGAATAAAAGATTTCTCAAAAACTTAATTTACTTTTGAAAAAATAATGTTTTTTTAAATAAGGAGTTTATATTTAAAGCTAATATTATTTTTAAAATTAGATTACCAATATATACAAGTTTCAAATTATCCTTTTAGCTATAAACTTTACCTGATTTTTGAATAAGTAATTTCTTAAACAAATATTCATATAAAATAACATTAACAAAACCTAGTTTTGATACTAGTTGAAAAATATTTATTTCACATAATAACACTTATATAACATTTTATTAAAAAAACTAATAATTTAGTAAATTAATAATATAAATAAATTATAAATCAATTTTTATTATATAATTTATACTATTTTTACTATATTTCATTATTAAAAATTTTCTCAAAAATTATTATTTTTTATTTTAATATTTGTCAAAATTTCAATTTTATTAAAATTCATATATTTATCAAATTTTTTATTATATATTATATTTATGTTTTAAAAAAATTATAGTCAAATATTTTTGAAAATCTTATCAATTGGATTTTTTTTTTGAGTACCTATAGCCAGGCTAGATTGTCAGCTTATTAATCAATTAAAATACAAA